ATTGTCTTGACCAGGACCACACCCCTAAATGCATTGAAGCAACTGCCATGTGATTGGTTGATTAGATAATTGCATTAATGAGAAACAGGTGTTCCTAATAATCTTTTAGGTGAGTGTATGCATTATATTAGCATGCTTCCAATCAGAAGGTACCACACCAGCAGATAAGGATTTCTGGAATAGTAAAGTTAAAGGTTGGCTAATAATATCCCTCATCTCCAGAGGTGGAAATTTCAGGTCCAGAAAGTACAAATCCAGACCAAGATTTTGTTTCAACCAAGCAGTTGAGTACTCTGTTACTGTGACTGTTTATGCTCAAATGGTTGGTTGAAAGTCAAAGTCAAATTATGGTCTGTATTTTTACTTTCTGGACCTGAAATTGACACCTCTGCTCATCTCTTTTAAAACTATAGGTTAGATGCCATCAGGGCCCTGCAATTTATTTATTTTGAGCTTAGCTAGGCTTTGTACCACATCAGCCTCAGTTATAGATATATTTGTTATAGATGACGCTGTATTTGTACTAAATGGTGGCAAGTTACTCGTGCTCTCTACTGTGAACACCCATGTAAAATAATCATGAAACTCATTTACTATATCAATTTCATTTTCAATTATAAGTCATTAACATTCGTCGCCGTCTGCCCTGTCTTTCCCAAATAAAACCCCGTTTCCTGCATCCTCGCCTACCTGCCTCGTCCTTCCCCGCTTCCTGCCTGTTTGCTACCCGTGGTCGCAACATATATAAAGGGTACGTTATTTTTGTTGTATTAGTTGACAGAAACAGAATACTTTCTTTCCATCCTGGCATCCATATTAGAGCGCCATGTAATATAAATATGAATGTCATGTAATATCATGTGTGTGGTTTGTTTGATTGTTTACTTCTCTGTAGTTATATCCCTGTAATTTGTCTTGTGACATAAGCATTATGGTCATGTAGGTGTGAACACAAAAAGGTTTTAAACAGTACTCAATTTATCATGTCTAAATTTTGTCTAGAGTGTGTAAAAACTCAGAATCAAAAACACATCCACTGTTCTAACTAATCTCTAATTTAATAAGTTACAATTTAGCATTTGGGGCTACATGGTAGTAAAGTGTTGCCTCACACCTCTGGGATTTGGGTTCAAGTCTTGACCAGGGTTCCATGTATGTGAAGTTTGCATGTTCTCTCCATGTTGTTGTGGGTTACCTCCAGGTACTCTGGTTTTTCCCCACAGTCCAAAAACATGGTGAGGCTAATTGGAGTTACTAAAATGCTTGTGTGTGTGAGTAAGTGAGAATGCCCGGCTAATGGGTTGGTGCCCCATCCTCGGTTGTTCCCTGCCTTGCACCCATAGGCTCCAGATCCCTCACGACCCTGAATAGGATATGTGGTTTTGGAAGATGGATGGATGGATTTAGCATTCATATGATATGAGGTAAACTTGTATTTCTGGGCAAGCAATTAAAATGACATTTGCAGTAAAAAAACATCAGAAATATTGATCTATTTACCCATATTCCAGGTGCCTATGAAGATGGTAATCATATCAGGCTCCAGTTTGTCTGAGTGTTTATTCTTCATCTGCTGCAAGAGCTGGCAGAAACCTTCTCTCTTCTGATGAATTCAAATACACAAATAAACAGACTGTCATGTAGATGTAGTTTTTAAATTATCTTCCAAAGTTAAAATGCTTATGAATGTTGTTTGTTTTACCTTAGAGTCTTCAAAAGCAAACTCCTTCCTCATTGTCTTCTCTTTCTCTGTCTCCACAACAATCACCAGTTTGTTGTGCACCTTTTGTGATTTCACCAGCTGCAAGACTGAATGTGAGGGGTTTTTTTTTCAGACAGCCAATCTCACATATACATGATCCTCTAGTAATAAAAGAAGCAAGTCTCACTTTTGTTGTGCACATAGTACTTATCTTCAGACCCATCTTTGGCTTTCTTGAAATAGAGTTTTCCACCATCAACATCCACTTTGAAATACATTTTGGTAGGTATCCCTAATACATCAGATTTCACCTAAAATTAATTAGAAATAGTTCAGTCCAAAGTCTAAACAGTGTACTGTTTGTAAATATTAAACATAATCTGTGTTGTTACAGATAATTGCAATAAAATTTAACATATGTCCTCTGACATCCTTTACTTAGTTTAAAATCCTCATGGTGTTTTTCTTTTTGTGAATATGACATGCAGGATATGTGCTGAAGGGTTTCAGAAGAATGCTAAAGAAGAATTACTGCACATTTACCCTCGTGTAAAAAAACTACATATATGCAAAATCACCTGTGTTTAGTGTAATTATCTACTGATATTAACATCCAGGAAGATGCACAATAATCAGTTTTATTTCCTAACAAGGGCATATAACGAAATAAATTCTTACCTCAAAGGTTACAGGTGGTATCAAAGATTTTCTATGACCTCCATCATATCCCATAACACTATCTAAAACTGCATTTTTTGTCTACAGGATAAAGAACAACATTATAGTTTGAAGTAGGACAGCAACTGAACTAAAATTACAACCTTATGAATTTCAGGAAATTTAAAGGAAATTAACAAATAACATGTCCAAAGGTATAAAACGGATTAAGTTAACCAAAATGTGCTTTCATGACAATTTTTTTTTTTCAAATTGGCAAAAAATAAAATGCAGAAACAGATAATCCTGGAAATAACATGCATTCTAATACATTGTAAAATATTCTTATGAACTACATAAATTATATAATATTAAAACTGAAAGACTACCTTCTCTTCTATAGAGTACAATAGCTTGGTCATTTGTTCAAGTCTGAGGGATACAGATTGATCAGGAGGAACCTAAAATGGATTGTAGGAAAATATTAGGTTAATAAAATAGAATGTAATAAAAAAAACTACTAAATCCTAACTCATCTACAAACTTATACAATCCATCATAAAGACCTTTTTAAAATATTTATTTAATTTTAAATGCAACATTTAACAATTACTAAAATTTTGAAGTTGCTTTTATGGTATTTGTAAAGTTTATATATGATGCTTTACCGGATTCTTCAGACGCCCAACCCCAGGTGACATCTGCTGATCCACCACTTTCTGAAATGCCTCCAAGGCAGGTAATGTGCGGGAGATTTCACTAAAAGGAAAGTGCCCATTGCTTTGACAGAGCCTGGAGGACATCTTTTAAAATGCAGTGCATAGTCTAAAAACATTCTTTGAAATGCTCAGGGTATTTATAACTTATCTGTTTTTTCGTTTATGACACACTGACATTTTCAGTTGCATTAGTTAATCATAAATTATGCTTTGAATTTTTTTGAACACTGATAAATTATGCTTGGATTTTTTTTTTCAATATATCACTAACTGTCAAAGGTGGTTTTACTGGTGTTTGAGGTATCTACTGTGCACCATAAACTACATAAAACACACATATTTCATTACATTTGTGCAAATTACCGCCAATGTTCTCTCAACTAATGATGGTTAGACAGAAAGATTGTGTATCTCTAATTGGTGTAGTTTGTAAAGTGTTCAGCAACATTGCTGGAAAAGTTTTATTTTCCCAGCTTTATTTTTTTTACTTCCAGTTTGTTTGGTATACTTTTCAAAAAACAATATTTCATAATTTCAGATATGCATTTATTCATAAAAATAAATGTTTATATATTGCAGTAATGATAATGAATTCTTAATCATTATGCAGGCTAAACATTTCAAATGAAGGATTTTTAGAAAATAACACTGAATGACAACAAATTGTACTAACCTATTAACATTAATTACCACAGTACTTAAAAACAATGCATTTTAAAATACATATCTTGGAAATAATAGAGAATAATAAATGTAAAAATGAAACTTACTTGGTTAAATTTTTGCATATCACAAGTGTCAGCTGTTTCAGGTATGGGAGGCCAATGTTACCACTCTGAAACTGCTCTGCATCCAGACATACTGAATTGCGGAAGTATTCTTGAATGGACTTTAAGTGATCTTCAGGAACACTGATTACATTCAGCAGGGCACAAGACAAAATGAAATAATAGTTTAAGACTCTTTGACAAATGATTGTTATTGCAGGCAAACATGGATACACATTACAGACATAAGAACAAAAGAAATTTACAAGCGAGAGGAGGCCATTCGGCCCATCAAGCTCGTTTGGGGAGAACTCAACTAATAGCTCAGAGTGTTAAAATCTTATCTAGCTCTGATTTAAAGAAACCTAAGCTTTTAGCTTGCACTACACTAACAGGAAGATTATAACTATACGCTGTGTAAAGAACTGCTTTATCAGATCCAGTTTATGTTCTCCTGCAAATTTCCACCTATAGCCACAAGTTCTTGTGTTTGAACTAATACTGAAGTATCTATTTAGCTGAATGGCATCCAGACCCGTTAGAATCTTATATACCTGGATCATGTCCCCCTTTAGTCCCCCTTGCTTGAGGCTGAACAGATTCAGCTCAGCTACCCTCTCCTCATGAGACATTTGTCTACGATCAGGAATCATTCTTGTAGCCCTACACTGAACCCTTTCTAAGGCCGCAATGTCCTTTTTAAGGTAAGGTGACCAAACCCTGCAACAATATTCTAGGTGGGGTCTTACCAAGGAATTGTATAATCATAGCATCACCTCCCTTGACTTAAACTCCACACACCTAGAGATGTAGCCCAACATCCTATTGGCATTTTTAATTGCTTCCCCACACTAGCAAGAGTGGGACATGGAAGCATCAACATACACACCAAGGTCTTTCTCATAATCAGCTACCTTTATTTCAGTGGAACCAATAAAATATCTGTACTTTATATTTCTGCTCCCGGCATGGATTACCTGACATTTGTCTACATTAAATTTCATCTTCCAGGTATCAGCCCAGTCACTAATTAAATCAAGATTCCGCTGTAGCTTTTGCCGCTAGTTCAGTATCTGCTACACCACCCACCTTGGTGTCATTTGCAAAATGAACCAGTTTACTGTATGTATTGGTGTCAATATCATTAATGTAAATCAAAAACAATAGTGGTCCTAAAATTTAACCCTGTGGTACCCCACTATGAACGCATTACCACTGTGACATTGTAATAACTACCCGCTGTTTCCTGTCTGTTAACCAGTTTTCAATCTAAGCTGGTACAGTTCCTAAAGTCCCTGCTGCTTTGAGCTTAAGCAGGAGCCGTTTGTGGGGAACAACCTCAAAGGCCTTCTGGAAATCTAAGTAAATCACATCATAGGCCTTCTTGAGATCAATTTCTCTCATAACTTGTTTAAAGAACTCGAGTAGTTTAGTTTTAAATCTATGTTGACTATCCATCAGAATGTTATTTGAATGCAGGTAATCTACTATTTTCGCTTGGATTCTAGCTTCCATTATTTTTCCAGTTAAGCAAGTTAAACTAATTGGCCTATACTTTGATGGATTACTTCTATCCCCTTTTTTGAACATTGTATAGATGTTATAGGCATGCTTCCAATCAGAAGGTACCACACCAGCAGAAAAGGATTTCTGAAATAGTAAAGTTAAAAGTCGCCAAATAAAATCCCACATCTCTTTTAAAACTATAGGTAAGATGTCATCAGGGCCCTGCAATTTTTTTATTATGAGCTTAGCTAGGCCTTGTACCACATCAGCTTCAGTTATATACTGTATATATACAGTGGTACCTCGGTTCTTGAACTTAATCCGTTCTGGATCGAATTCTAAAAAGTTCGAGTTCTGATCGAATTTCCCATAAGAAATAATGGAAAACCAATTAATTGGCTCCCGGCCCCCAAAAATTACACCTAAATATGTTTTTTCTTTTTTTTAGCATTTAAACACAAAATGAACAGGATAAAACAAGAAGAGCATTTTTTTCTTAATGGCTTCCAAAACGATAAAGATCTTATCCCAACATTACCCCTGTCCTGCCCCGATCGTCCACTCCTTTCGTGTGCCACGCCCCCTCGTTAACCTTGTGTGGGATCCCAATGTGATCAGTTGTTTCTGGTTGTTGTCATTAGTCCTCTGTATTAAGTTCGCGTTTCAGTTTGTTTACCCAGTCTGGTCATTGGGTGCGTTCGACTTGCTTACAGCGCTGGCTTAAAGCAACGCATTCTTATTCCTGACGAAATGCATTGCGGTTAGATGCATTGCGACCTCTCACCTGGCTGCACAAACTGGAACCGCCTCCATGACGACACACCTTTGCCCTTATTGGCTGAAGAGTTTAGTTACACACATGACGTTTGTATCCCAGGCAGTTCTGATGCGTAATCTGCTATTTCTCCCGAATATCATGTAAAGCAGTGAGAACTGGTTTTCAGTTAATTTACCTGGTAAAATAAAGTTTAAATAAATGACATAAATGCTCTAATAGTACACGTAAGTTAGTGGTTTATTTATTGTTAGTTACTGTAATGTTGCGCTGCTTTATTTGGTTAATCGTCCAGCCTGTGAAGAAGGCATTCAAGTAAGATTTGCATTGTAGTATGACTCATTTCCCGGCGCATACAATTTATATTAGGTCGGCATTCATGGTTCGACTTCTGATATTCAGATCGAGTTCTAGGTCAAACTGGTTTGTTCGACTTTCAAGAAATTCGAGTTCTAGTGAGTTCAAGAACCGAGGTACCACTGTATATTAGTCTTAGACTATGCTGGATTAGTAATGAGTTTGTATGTTACTCTATAGTCAATACCCGTGCAAACAATCATTAAACTTGTTAAGTATATCAGTTTCATTTTCAATTATAAGACCCTTATTATCCAGTACTGGGGGACTGATGGTTAGAATTAAAAATGACACAATCCACACAATAAAGTCAACCTTAATATATATATGAATATAAAAAAAAAAACAAGATTGAATGTGTCACGCCCCGCTCGGTCCGATCCTAATGTGTGCCACGCCCACCTTGTTACCTCCTGTTTCTGCCTGATTGTTCCCACCTGTTGCTCGTTACCCTTAGCTTGTCTTTTGTATTTAGTGCTCGTCTGAGTCAGTCTTCCCCAGACTTGTCATTGATGTTTGCTGTCGTACTTCCCCGGTCCTGTTACCCTGAATAAATCCCCGTTTTACCCTGCTTCCTGGCTCCTTTTCCCTTCTTCCCGGATCGCCTGCAAGCCTTAACATGACAGAATGCACCACAACCCTATAATGGATAGATAATATAAAATAGCAATTCATTACATTTATAAAAAAGGCAAGAATACAATACCATGACCCTGTCTGGTAAGGGTCAAACCTCAATTCAATGGTTGCAACTCCAATCATCTTGCCACAAGGCTAAGGTCATATTGCTAGGTAACACTAAACTATCTATTGTCTTAATTAATATTTTTAGAAGATTGTGGTCAATGGAGTTTTTTTTCTTTATTCCAAATGATAGACTATTAGAAATGAAGGAAAAAGGTAAGACTGAAAACAGTAGTGAAAGAGTTTCATTTAGAAATATCCATTTTCAAACCACTTTTTCT